CCATGTACATTTCAGTAGTACCACCTATAAACTTTTAGTATAGTGAGCAAATGATGGAGATAAATGCTTCCCAACTGGTTCGCAGTGAGATAATTTGACCTCCTGTGAGGTATACTGAGAATGTGTGGACAAACCAGTACATGATAATAAAGAACTGTAGTTCTCAAAGTGAGTATTTTCCTAATAGTGTGACGCATGCAACTAAACTAAATTATGTATAAATTCAATAATCATCTTTTTCTTAACTTTTTTCTGGTATGACCACATATACCTACCTGTATGCCAAGTCACAATCACTGGCATATTTGTGCCATGGTACACTGAGAATATATTGCTGCTCACATGTCAAAGTCTCCCAATGTTTTATGTATATTTAGGATACTATGGACGGCAATGAAACATACACCTGAATGGCCCCCTTAGGCTAATGATTCATAAAACAAGTCAGAACATTGAATGGCCCCCTTAGGCTAATGATTCATAAAACAAGTCAGAACATTGAATGCAAATAAGTGCAAGAAATTGATTATACCAAGTTCATATGTGAGAATTTTAGCATTTTAAAGAAAAGGTAATCTAATAACTACTGGAGCATTAATTTTACTGATTAAGAGATATTCTGGAAAGTTGTCACCCTGGTTATGAATTCTTATCTTGGACCACAGTACCGGTACATGTAGGAAAAGATATATAGTGCTTCTGAAGACAAATACAGAAATCGTAGACCTGAGTACCAAGAAAATTATCTGAAGGTCAAGTGACACTGGGATTATTTCAATGAATTAAAGAAGTCGTGACACTGTGGGATTATTTCAACCAGTCTAGGGATTTAAGTGACACTGTGGGGTTATTTCAATGAGTTTTAAGGAGTCATAATATTGGGATTATTTCAACCAGTCTAGGGATTCATGTGACACTGTGGGATTATTTCAACCAATCTAGGGATTTATGTGACACTGTGGGATTATTTCAACCAGTCTAGGGATTTAAGTGACACTGTGGGATCATTTCAACCAGTCTAGGGATTTAAGTGACACTGTGGGATCATTTCAACCAGTCTAGGGATTCATGTGACACTGTGGGATTATTTCAACCAGTCTAGGGATTTAAGTGACACTGTGGGATTATTTCAACCAGTCTAGGGAAATATTTGACACTGTGGGATTATTTCAAC